CACCTGGCTTCCTCACCCCCTGCCTGGCCCTTGCCCCTGTCCCCCCAGTGCCTGGCACCTGGCTTCCTCACCCCCTGCCTGGCCCTTGGCCCCCTCCACCCAGTGCCTGGCACCCAGCCCCCTGCCCCCCAGTGCTCAGCCCCCCGTGCCTGGCACCCAGTCCCCCTCCCCCCCGTGCCTGGCATCCAGCACTAGTGCTACTGCACCCACCTCTGGGTACTAACATGCCCTGCACCCAGGACCAGTGCCACTGCACCACCACTTCCCTCCACCAGGCAGCCCTTCCCCCCTGGCACCCACTCTCTGTGCACAGGAGTCCCCTTCCCTCTCTACCCCCATGCAGAGTGCCCAGCCCTGCAAATGCACAGATCCATCCCAGACCACTGTCACACACCGGCAGACACTGAACAGCCAACCTGAGCAGCAGCAGATAGGAGAATAAAAGGGAATTTGAATGATGGCAGATTATTAAATAACTAAGAACGTCACATTTATGTAACACTTTGGAGCGCAGGAGATGTACAGGGCCTTGAATACTGGGATGAGCACCTTTATACCCGGGTAACTGCCCTGCAAAGTTGCACCCGTTTAACTGTTGGTTTCTAAACCAAGATAGATGACAGCAGTCCAAAAACCATGTGTAGAGCAGCCCAAATTCCTCACCCTGTGCCACCCCAGTCAGCAATGCTGTCCCTATTGCACACACAGGCCTTCTCAACATTAGGAAACATTCTTGTATAGAAACACAAATGTTAAGGATCTAGTTAGCTGAGGCAATGCTGACCCCAACTTTGTAGTCAATGTAGACAAGGACCATAGTGTCAGCTAGCCATGGTTAACCCCACCTGGTACCAGGATCTGGCCTGGGAGGGCATGCAATTTTTGCTACAAGTCCCCCATTTCCTCATTAGGTTGCAGTTGTGAAGGTGCTTGTTTTTGTAGGATGAAGGGCTTCTGCAACAGGCTGACCTTTTTGAGGAATAGGCTAAACCTGTTGGAGAACCAGAATTTGGGACCTTTCCAAAATCATGCAGTCTGGAAAGCTACACGTATTTTCCTTTGAGTAGAGATATGCCATGCCATTGCTGTAAGTCTGTGGAAATTAATTTAGTTAAGGTGAAATTGCAAGTTTGTTTTCATAACCTTTACAGATTTAAAAGAAAATGTTTTTCATATAATGGCTAAGATGTGACAGTATTTGAATCTCAGAATTTTTACTACGTATCTGAATAGCTCAGTGGTTTGAGCATTGGCCTGCTAAACCTAGGGTTGTGAGTTCAATCCTTGAGGGGGCCACTTAGGGATCTGGGGCAAAATCAGTACTTGGTCCTGCTAGTGAAGGCAGGGGGCTGGACTTGATGACCTTTCAAGGTCCCTTCCAGTTCTAGGAGTTAGGATATCTCCATTAATTTAATTTAATTCATCACTTAATTTCAAGGCCCTGGTTAAAAAATGTTGTATACAGATATCTTTATCCAAGATGCTATAACAATATTTTAAAACATGTATATTTTAAAATCCAGTTTATTGGTCAATGTTTACATTCTTGTTTACAATGAAAAAAATCAGAAGTCAGTTTCACATTCATCTGCAGTTAGATTTAATGTCTCGGGCCCAATTCTAGTACATGGTTAACTTTGTGCACAGTCTATAGGTCTATTGAGTGCATAGTCTTTGCAAGTTCAGGGCCTTTGTACTGCAATGTTTCGCTTTCACACCCTGCAGTGTTGATTTGTTTTATTGTTTTGATGAAGTTTACATTTTGGGTGATATTCAAGCTATATCACTTTTAAAAGTTATAACAAGAATAAATAGTTTCACGCTCATACTAGCTTTGACTTCTTAAAGTTAGAAGTGCATAAGTCATACATCTAAGGTTTACTGAAACAGTCATTTGTTTTTAGTGTTGGTTGGCTGACCAAGTCAGTTCTACACATAGGCTAAAAGCCACCTTGAAAATGATATGGTTCTTTAAAAAATCTTAATTTTACTAGCATTCTTTCATTCACTCCCAACAGAACTCCTGACAAAAAAAGCTCAGTTCTACTAGACTTCAGCCCTGCGATGTGCAGGAGAGGGTATGCTATGTTAACCATTGGCCTTTTCAGTGCCTAAGATTACAGTCCAGATCTAGGTTCCAAAGGTCTGGTCGTCTTCTTGCTCCAGTGGGATACAGACTTTGATGCTTTTCCTCCATTCTTTAAATGTTTGTCCTTGAGCTAATGCATCACAACGCATTTCCTGGCAACCAAGAGAACTACTTCCAATAATTTTGTCTGATATTTGCACAGTCCCACTGCTGCCAGATTGTGAGTTATACAAACTCTTTTAATACAGAGTTTATAATTCAAACATGCCTTATAAGTAAACAATTATTCTTTCCCAAAATCTTTGCCTCTCCTTCTCCAGTACCAGACCGTTTACTTCAGTTTTATATTTATTGATAGGTAACCTGGTGCAGAGGCTCTCAAACTATGGTCCGTAGACCACTGGTGGACTGCAGAGCACTTGCCAGTGGTCTGCAGAGAGCTGGCTGGTCACTTGGTGTTGGCTCTCCTCCTTTTTTCCATCTACTAATTTGTATTAAAAGAGCTAAAATTATATTAAATAGTTTCCCACTGTTAATTTTCGATGTAAACAGTTGGTACAGGGATATTACACAATCATGAACGGGTGAGAAAGTGGTCCACACGCTCACAAACCACAGAGGAATTAGTCCATGAGACTATTCAGGTGTGGTCCATGCTGTGAAAAGGTTTAAGGTTCCCTAGCTTGGTGATTAGAGCACAAGGCTGGGAGTTTGGGCTGCTGTTGCTGAGCCCAAATTTCACTCTTCTTTACTCCATGGTGAGTCATGAGTAACTGGGTTGGTACTTATGTAACAGGCTTCACCTTTGCAGCATGGTTAGAAAGCCAAAAAGTGCTGAATTTTCTCTGGTGTTGTGTGTGACAAATCCTTCAACATGTATGTCTTTCTGCCTGATGTATGGCTGTATTCACATGGCAGAACTGGCCTGGTAGGAATGCTCTCTCCTCCACACACTTGATCTTGCTTTGGGCTTATCTAGAAGAAGTTGATTAAAGATAAATATATTTTCCTTGGAGTTGAAGAAAGTAGTAATCTCTGCCCTGGATAAAGTCTCAGGAGGGTTATTCAGCCCCTGCCAGATTGGGCCTCAGTTGTGAGAGCCTGAGAGAGTGCCTATTGTAAATGTCATACTGTTGTGTGTTTCCATTAGAGGTCATACGTCTACACTGCATTGTAGCCCAGGATTTGAACTCTGACTCAAGCCTACCTCCCCCGCTTCCATCTATGTGCAAATAGCACTAACCCAGGGGGTGGAGGGTCCAAGCCTGAGTCAAGCTGCCACCCAGGGTTCAAGTCCTATTACTTTGCAATGTAGATGCATCCCCACTGGAGTTGTGCTCTGGGAGTCTGCCAAAAATATCCCACAATGCCATGGGCCAACTTTGTCCTCTAGACCAGTGCTTCTCAAGCTATCTGATGTGGGGGACAGGCAATTTTTTCCCCCAATGTGCCAGGGACTGGTGCCATATTATTATCCTATTCAACACTCTTATGAGGAAACTCGCCACGGACCGGCAGCCGATGGCTCACAGACTGGCACCAGTCCGCGGACCACCACTTTGAGAAGCACTGCTCTAGACAGTCAAGTTTTCCCACACTGCACCACAAACATAGGACTAAGGCAGCCACATTTTGGGATGGTGCTAGGAAGCGTGGGATAGGCATAGTTGGGCTCAGGCAATGTAGATGCTGGAGCCCAGGTTCGGGCCCAGGGTTCAGAAATTCCTAACCTGGGGTTACAAATGAGTATAGATGCTCAAGCGCAAGGTTAACAACCCCAGGGTCTGTTTACTGGAGTGTTACTAATCTTGGGCTTACATTACAGAGTTGATATACCCTAGGTGTCCATCCCTCCCCCTTCAGCTCTTTGGTTATCCCAGCTTCCTCCCTCTCGGTTTTATTTGTTAACAACCCTTAAATGGATATAGAAATATAGTGACATTTACAGGAGAAAAATCACTCTGTACTGCAGACTGGGAGCAAGTCTGGGTTATTAACACTTCACATATTGGATGGTCTTTAAAAATCACAGTTGAGATTTTCAGAAGTGATTAATGATTTTTTGGGGGGAGGGGGCCCTCCATTTTTGGGAACCTCATTTGAGGCTCTCCTAAAGAGTCCTGATTTTTAGGGAGTGTTGAGCACCTGCCATCGGGGGGGGGAAGGAAATCTAGATCCTTTAAAGGGTCTCAAGCGGGACTCCCAAAAAAATCACAAGTTGCTGTTGAAAATCTTAGCTCATATTTTTTGAACAAGCTTCTTTGTCCGAGTTACAAACAATACCCAAGGTGATTAAAACGGAAAGAATGTTTAAAGTCTCACTTAGCCTTCACCATTTCTGCTACTTATTTGTATTTTGCAATCCCCTCCATTTAGGACAATGAAAACACAGCATTGGAGATCACCAAGACTGCCTTCAATTGCTTTACACTGCAAACAACCACTAAATCCAACCTAAATGCACATGCACAAACAGAGCATTGCGGCAGGGATGGGAAGATTCTTACTAGTGACCAGTTGAGACTCCAAACTTGTTGAAGTGCTTGGAAACAGCTAAGATAAAAAAATTCTGTATTTCAAAGTGTATTTGCATATACAGTAACACTGCACTGTTCAGACTACGAATGTGAATTAGTCTGCCACTGACTATCTACTTAAAGATGCAAGACCAAATGTCAGTTAGAACCCCTGGCTCATATAGGATTTATACCTGTGTCAGCAGGGCTCCATTTGCATTACTTCCTTCTATTCCAGCTGCCAAGCTGTCCCAAATCAAGTGACTGATACTGGTTTGCAACTTGTCACAGAAGGATTAAAGTTACAGGTTTATCTTTCACCAAGATACTACTTTCAGTTTCTAATTTCAGATTAGAACACCAGAGTGCAATCTCCCCAGCATCTCTCCCAGACAGCCAGTTTTACATGTTGTTAATGCTACAGTATGCTGTCTGCAAGATCAGATAAACTAGCGGCTGTGTGGGCTCTGAGGAGCAGAGCCAATACCTTTCTGTTTATGCATTTTTTCCCTAGAGCTCCGTTAGCAGTTGGACTAGATGATCTGTAGACATTTTCCTGTTTTAATTTCTATGGACTTCAAGATGCGTGGCCAAAATCATTGGGCTGATACATTAAATACTATCCTGCCGCCTTCACAATACCCCCACTGAATCCATATACACACACACACACACACACACACACACTCACTCCTCCTCCCCCCCCCAGAGATGGTAAATGTAGACAGCCTTTGAGTACACAAGGTGTGTTCTTATCTGACACAGTAACTGTACCCCAAAACAATGAGCTTTTTCTTTGTTCGTTGGTTACTTCCCTAGATGATTAATTTATCTTCTAACAACTACTAATGGGGAACTTTGAGATAATCACATTCTCCTATCATGTATTTAAAATTTTTCCTTCTTGATGTAAGATAATGTTATCTAAGTATAATGCTGTGACATGCATAAATGTGCATGTCATTTGTAAAACACTGATAAGAGATGTGTCCAAGCACTGGAAAATTGGAAATTCTCAATCATCACAAGGGTCACAACGAACAGCTTACATTCATAATGTATTTGATTTTTTTTTTGCAGTGTTATTGTAGCTATGTTGGTCCCAGGATATGAGAGAGAATATAGATGAGGTAACATTGTGAACTTAAATTCATAGCTCGGCTAGACACCATTGACTTAACAGGGCCTTTGCCTTTATAGCTTACTACAACAGTTTGTAACATACCACACTGCCTGATACCCTTAATTGCCCACTTCAACCCCTTTATGCATAACAATCTAACCTGCAAAAAGAACAGGAGTTCTTCGGATGCATATAGAAGTGGGCTGTAGTCCACGAAAGCTTATTAGTCTCTAAGGTGCCACAAGTACTCCTGTTCTTTTTGCGGATACAGACTAACACGGCTGCTACTCTGAAACCAATCTAACCTGCAATTGCCCACTTCATTCCAAGTGACCATCTCCACCATGTGTTACCACGTCTGCTTTATTCCACTCTGTATGCATCCGAAGAAGTGGGCTGTAGTCCACGAAAGCTTATGCTCTAATAAATTTGTTAGTCTCTAAGGTGCCACAAGTACTCCTGTTCTTTTTACGTCTGCTTAACAATCTTTCCCAACTTGTATTTAGTTCAAGCCATGTCTACATTACAAAGTTAAATTGACCTAACTTATGTCGGCATATAGCCGCCACAGTAATTACATCACTTGTGCATGCCTACACTTTGCTTTTTATGTCAGCAGTGTGTGTGTCCTCACCAGGAGTGCTTGTATTGATTGTAGTGTGGAACATTATGGGAGGGCTCCTGAAAGCCAGTAACAGTCGACATAAGCAACGCAGTGTCTACACTGACACTGTGTTGACCTAACTACATCAGCCTTGACTCTATGCTGTTCATGAAGGTGTTTTTAAGGCTATGTCTACACTACAGCCTATGTTGACAAAACTATGGCACTCGGGAGTGAATATTCCGTCTCCCTAAGCCACATAAGTTACACCGACATAAGTGCTCATGTGCATAGCACTCTGTCAGCAGGAGAGCTTCTCCCACTGACATAGCTTATGCTGCTCCCATTTTTTTATGCCAGTGGAAGATTTGCAATGGCATGCCAGAAGCTTGGGTATGTAACACAATAGGTTTAATCTTTGCTGACAGCTCCAATAAACCAGTCCCCCAAACCCCCAAAAATGAACAGGGAACTTTTCAGCGCTAGCTTGTCTTGAGTCCTAATATGCTTCATCCTCTCCCCTGTGGAGATCTCAGTAGGTTGGAATTTCTCTCTTCTCTCAGCCCTTCTTGCAAGGCTTCCCATGCAGATGGTTGGAGAAGATGGGATCTAAAGAGCCCCTCAGCAAATGGTTTCCGCCCAGCTTAAAATCTAGTGGGGAAATGAATTAGCATGAAGAATCTGTAAAAAGCAACAGACTTTTTACAGATTCAGACTAACACGGCTACCCCTCTGATACATGAAGAATCTGTAAGTGTAAAAGTGAGGATGGGCCTTTGGCAGGGGCGTCTCTCCTGTCTGATCACAGGATCAGAGAAAAAGATGGAGCATAGGATGAAAGCGTCACTGTGTGTGTTTCTCTGTATTCATTAGTGAATTTCAGTCAGAGCACTCAGCACAGAGGAGGCTCACGGATTCCTGTTGGAATCACTGCTCAGAATTAATGAGGCATGCTCCCCAGCTAATGAGATGCATGATGTTATAGTGCCTCTAGCAGGTGCTGCAGCACAGCAGGCTGGGGCCTTTCATCTCCCCTGGCAG